CCAGGTAATACTTACGAATCCACACCCTTGATCTTCACTGATGGAAGCATATTTGGTGGTATGTAAGTTTATTGTTCAGACAACCTTGAATCCCAGCTACATATACGAAAATTAAACCACTTTCAAACTACATAGGAGATATACTTTACTGTTGGTTCTAGCTAACTTGAACCATTTCTTAAAAGCAAAAAAAAGTGAAGTGTTTATGGGAGTCTCTTTTATCTTCCTGTCTCCAGCATCAGGACTGTATGAGACCCTGATTGGATGAAACTTGAGAAAGGTTGACATAATAAAAGCAAAACAAACAACAGCCCCCCTAAAATATTTAACAAATCATGTCAAAAGGAATTGACAGCTTTTGAGTGTTTTTCTTGCTTTCTCTCTGTCACATCAATATTTCTGTGTCTCTTATCTTTCTTTATTATGTTTGCTCATTCTTTCTATTTTAACTGCACTCCTTTAGGCAGGACACTGTCAGCATAGACTGCTGTTTCAGGTTGCTTCGCTGATGTAAAGTTCAGTTTTGCACTAAGAGTGTCAGAGTCTCCTACAGAGTAGCCTTCTAATGTAATGAACAATCACATGCGTTTTCAAAGATGCTAACACAGTCATCACTGGCCTTACACTGTATCTTTCAGGCAGCGCTGGCCTTGCAGCTCAAGGTCATTGTTTTTAAATAACCTGACTAAGCAACTAACTGGACAGGGATGAACGGACCAATGTGTTTGGTCAGTACTCACTACATTTATCAAATATGGTGATTCTAAATGTTGGGATTCTGCATTTTAAAAGGGATTTAGAGAAGTTAGAAGAGCAAAATTCTAAAAGAAATGGACCAAATGAGTTACAGCCTCAATACAGATTCTAAGGTATATTAGTAAACACGTGTGCGTGTGTTCTTTATTTAATGACCAAACTCCAACAGGTGAATAAGTCGTTAAGTGAATTGGTCACTAAATGAAGAATTGTATATAGTATGCAAATTACAATATTCAGAAGAAAGAAATGGTCAAAGGAAACTCCCACTTGACTTTGCTTTTATTTGAGTAACTCTTATATGCACTACTGTAACATGTAACAGAACATAAAACTACAGTACTATGCTGTGCAGTAAAATCAGTCAAAATTATAGTACTCTATAAACAAACTTACTGTCCAAAAAGAGACAATAAGGCATAAAGAAACAATGTACATAACTATAAAAAAAAGAGCAGGTTGTAAGTCCAAACATTGCACTTTGATCATAAGTCTGAATAGTCATTGAAGAGGTAAGTCATTAAACCACATGTAGCGGGTGTGTGTGTGTGTGCAGTGTGCCTGGGTAGTTCAAAATAAGTATTTATGTATACCAATATCAGTATATTAAAATAATGCGTGTGACATAGGTGTGCATTATATATTATGAAAATTATATTTTCACAGCAAAATAAAATTATGCAGAAAGCATAGAAAGCTTCTACATATTGTGCATACACACACACACACACACACACACACACAGAGCCTGTCCAAATGTCAGTATCCAAATGAGAGTAGTATATTTGTTACAGATGAGAACATGAACCTAGTCTAACACATCATTATCACCCAAAGTTCATAGATTCAATTAGGGTTTTCTCTCAGTTTGACAGTTCTCTAGGTTTTCACAAAGGTATGAGGACATATATCCATTTTACTACCACACAGAACAGTTTCACTACTGTACAAGTCTGTTCTTCCCTTCCTCATTCCTCTTCATCCACCTACTCCACACGTGTCCTGGCAGCCACTGACCTTTACACTGTCTCCATAGCAAAGTTTCATGTAGTCGAAACCAGACAGTGGGTAGCCTCGTCAGACTGCCATTTAATGGTATGAATTTAAGTTAGTGTTAAGATTTTTCATACCACTCAAGGAATTTAATATTCTCCCATTTCACAAATAATTCCAAAGGTGACCCTCAAGAAAAATATCCACTGAAATTGCAATTTTTGAAAAACCTTTCTTCACTGTCAATTCTTCTTAAATGTCCATGGTAGAGTGCATTCAAGTCAAAGGATAAACATCACACATTTGAATAGTGGAGGAAGCCATTTATGCTGAAAAGGCATGGATATACTGTGCAGTAAAATAGTGAATTTTCATTAGAGTATAACAAGAATGAAATACTGAGCTAACTGCTTATAGCTAGAAATCTACCTAGACTCCTCTTGGGAGCGAAAATTCATGTTCCTCCTATGTCAGAAATATTTCAGTGGAAAAAAACTTGAGAAGTGGTTCAGAGGGGATTTAATTTAAAACAAGATACATTTTGATGGTTGAATAGTACTTTAGATCAGGTTCCCTGGGAAGCTGACTCTGAGGCAAATTCCTGTGTAGAAGGTTTATTTGAAATTCTTCCAGGAACTTTCCCCTGCAATGTAAAGAAGGAAGCAGAATCCAGGTGGGTGTTGGTGAGGTGTGATACAGATGCAGCAGAGGCTTCAGCCAATGGCATAGGGAGCTCTAAAGCTCCACTGGACCCTTGTAGGTACTGCCTTTTAAAGCGAAGTGCCTGAGCCTTCTTAGTCTCAATTCACCAAATGTGAAGGAAGCCGTACTTAGAAGTGTATGTAGCTTTGGAGGGCAGTTACTAGAGCTAGATTTCACTGTGAGCCGTCATCGCCCACTCCCAAAGGGTGAGAGAAAGACACCCAGATCCTGAAGGGGTAATCTCAGCAGCACAAGACAGTGTTCATTAGAGGATATACAAGATCAATGTCTTCCTTGAAAAGAAGGGCCTGGAACAAATAGTTCTAAGTACTTTTAAATAAAAATCACTCTGGGATTTAATTTTTCAAGTGAAACAGAGTTTTATTTTGCCTATCTATTGTAAGGAAAAATATAAATGAACACACATGCACAAAAACATCATGAATAAGAGGCCAGGAAGCACAAGGATCCTGTGTTTGTCATGGAATAAATAAAATCACTTTTCTAGTTATTTTTTTAATCTGTTAGAATCTCATTGTATTAGCTTTTTGTTGCTGGGGCACAATACCGAACACCCCAAGTGAAAGGAGGAGAGATTTAATTTGACCCATGATTTCAGTGCACGGACCGTGGTCAGCTGGCTCAAAAGCAGAAACACCAGGGTGACTGGGCCTGGGAAAGCCAAGCTGCTTAGGTTACAGTGGCCACAAAGCAGGCCAAAGGAGCAATCCCAAAGAGGAATGGCAAGAGACAAGATACGGGTCTGTAAGTCAGACCGCTTTAAAACCATCCAGACACACCCAAAAGTGTGCTTTGTTAATACCCTGGGCAATTCCCAAGCCAATCAAGGTGACAGCCAGCATGCCTACCTTACATAAGTAAGAGTTAGGGTAGAAAAGTTGCTTCTAGATTTTCATTACAGGCTCACAGTTTCTTAAGCTCTTTCACCTTCTGGTGAGTTAGTGAAGGTGAAATTTTAATGCATACAGTATTTTTGAAAAAGAAAAGAAAATTCATAATGTCTGCCCCTTCTTAAATGTGAGATTCATTTAATGAAAAGAATGAATAGAAACTATTTGACCATGGTTATTTACTAAAAGAAGTATAAAAATGTAGGACTTACTGAAGGTATAAAAATGTAATTCCCCTTTACTTTCTCAATTTGAATTTAGGATTTGTACACCGGAACTCTACAGCTGTATTTACCACTATGGTCTCAAGCAATTAGCTTAGAACATGGTACGGAGATCTCACAGTCATGTGTTTTCTCTTCCCTGTGTCTTAGGTACATGACTTTGGTCATAAGGTCAGAGTCAAAGTACATTCTACACGTACTATATCTCCACTACTCAGTGAGTGGGGAGGTAAGGCAACTTTCAAATCTCATTTTTTTTTCCAAATCTCATTTTAAAAAATAAATGCACTATACCATCTTTATGTATAAAATATTCTTATAAAATCCATAAATAAGAGGAGTTTTATGTTTGTTTTTTGTTTTGCTGTTTCAAGACTTGAACCCAGATCCTCCCACTGGCTATGCCTCAGTCCTTTCAACTTTTATTTTCAGATGGTATTTCACTAGCTGGCTACGAGCTTATGACTCTTCTACTTTAGCTTCCTAAGAAGCTGGAATTATTCTTACCACAATACCTGGAAAGAGTGGTTTTAAATTGTACAGAAAGTTCAACTATTTCTGAACAGGTCCCCAGTGCTCTAATTTTTCCTTGAATACACTCACAAGTCCATCAATAGCTGCTACAGAGACAATACAGAGTATAAGAACAGCCTCCTTAATATCGTTCCTGCAATTTAGTGCAGTCTTCTATACTCAAACCTATTCCTTGACATCTACAAACTTCAGCTAGTCAACACCCACCATACTTGGCTTTTTATTAGGCTAGACTTAACAGAGAAACAAACTTTTCTAAAGAAAAGAGTTTAATGAAAATTTATTAATGTAGCATTGAACCTTTGGACATGTAAACTTGGTGGACCTGGAAGACCTCATTTGTAAAATGAGTTGGTTGTGTTAGAATCATATTATCTTCAAGATTCCTTGCAATGCAGTATTTTAGAATAAACTGTGATTTGTCTCTACAATAAATATAACAGCACTTGGCTTTTGAGAAGGAATCAAGGTCTATGAGAGAAACACAATGAGGAAAACCTATACCAGCCCTCAGTTTCTGTGATTCACCCTGTCCTGCATCTCAGGAGCTACATTTCCTGAGTGGGAGCCACTCAGGGATAGTTAATAAACCGTACATTGATATAGTAACAATTCCTTTTAATTCTAAAATTATCAGTGCCTTTCCCAAGTGCCTAATTACTGTGAAATTTAAGGGATCAGAATAAAATTCCTTCTTCAATTTGAAAATATCTGTTTTCATGTCAGTGATACCTTTTTAAGAATGGTGCTTCATATTTCCTAACTGGAATACTTTGTGCTTATATAAGAATAAATATATTCTGGGATATCTAGTACTGTACAGAGAGAAGACTTCTCTGATGCCAGCCTGACTTCACTTATATACATCTTTTTTTTGTAGATCTTGCCACAATGCAGCCCTCACTCTGTGGAGCTGATCAGTTTGCTTGTATCTACACACGGCAGTGCATCTCCATGGAAGGGAAATGTGATGGACGTGAAGATTGCACAGATGGCTCTGATGAAATAGGCTGTTCTCTCAGACCCTCTCCTCAGCTCTGTGGTGACGCGGAGTTCCAGTGCTCTGCAGATCGGTGTATCCCGTCCCTCCTTCTGTGTGACGGAGTGCCCGATTGTCACTTTAATGAAGATGAATCCAGTTGCGGTGAGTCATTTTCACTAACTCAGTGTGCCAGGAGAGAAATACAGTTTTGAAATGATTGACGGAGCTTGGCAGATGAAACAGAGCTCTGTAGAGCCTTAGCATAATTGCATCATCAATATTATAGTTTTTTGTGTTATGTCGCTCAGTAAAATATGTAGCTTTTACGTACCATTTCTGGAAGCTATCCGTGGCACTTACACTGATTTCTGTTAAACTGCTCTTATTTCCGGTTCCACTTACATCCGGGTCAACCTACTGGTGGATATTCTTCTATATTTATCCTAATTAATGGAACACAGATTTATGGAAATGCTGAAAGAACTGTGATTATAACTTTTTTCTACTTTAGAGGTTCAGGTTAAGGGCTTAATGTCAATGTCTATAGAAAAATAGATTTTAGCAAATACATACAGCTCAAAGTTGGGTCTGGACAATTACTTAGATGGATGTCATGTCACTATGAGTCTACGGAACAGTAAATCCTAAGGCTATAATCTGCCTGTGCAATTTTGGAGAAGGCATTTGGGTATTGCCCATTTCAGTTTTATCATCGTGTAATCAGGTCAATTGTACCTGACCTACAAAGCTGTGAGAATTTGAGCCGAGCCCTATAAAATCCCAAAGCCCTATATGCAGTACCTTCCATTTTTATTATAATTATCCATGTCACATAGAGAAGGGAAAGTGTCAATTAAGAAATAATTATACACATCTAAAGGTGAATACCTTATCATGGTGAAGACACAAAACCCCTGACACTATGTAATTATTTGTCTATTTTTATATTTTATTCTACTATATTTTGAAAAAAAATTTTATTTTAAAGAGAGTAGCAAATGAGGAACAAACAAACAAAGAAATAGAACAGTAGCAGCATGCCAGTATCACAAACATATACAAATCAAAGCAAGAACATTCAAAGTGATACAGAGTCTCAAGACAAAATAATATGAATCAGCAGTGGTTGTTACATTACATATCACTGTCCTCAACTACATTGCTCAGATTACCAGCTGTAAGAATGAAAGATTGCTCAAACCATTATAGCGAATAAGAAAATAATTCCTCAACAAAACCTTAGAGATAATACAGTTTCACTAGACAAGATGGTAGGAGTTCACCATTGTAATTCCAGTGCATATTGTTACTTTCAAATCAGTTGCTCAGACCACCAGACACAAGCATGCACAATCGATCAGAACATAAAAAATTGTAATCATTAACTGTCTATTTCTATACACCATCAGACATCAGCAATACAGTTATCGCAGCTATTCATATATATATTTATACTTTGCCTTCCTTCTTTCATTTTCCTCCTTTCCTTCATCCCAGTTGTTCCTTTCTTTGAGCAATTTCTTTCCATTTCCTATTATCTATTGTACTTTTTGAGTTTTACCTAGTCTTTCAGGTTCCTACAGCAAGGAGACAATGTGATTTTTACCCATCTGAGTCCAATTTATTTCATTACGAGTATGGTCTCTAGTTACATCCATTTACCTAAAAAAGCCTCGACATGAAAACAACACTGAGATTCCACCTCACCCTAGAAAGAATGGCTATCATCAAGAAATCAACCAATAACAAATGCTGGAGATGCTGTAGGGAGAAAGGAACCCTACTCCTCTGCTGGTGGGAATATAGATTGGTGAAACCACTGTGGATATCAATTTGGAGATTCCTCACAAAACTAGGATTGGAAGCCCCATTTAACCCAGTTCTGGGCATTTTCCCAGAAGAATTAAAGACATCATACCACAGCGACATATGTGCACCCATGTTTATAGCAGCACAATTTGTTATAGCTAAATCTTGGAAACAACCCAGATACCCATCCACTGAGGAATGGATAAAAAAGATGTGGTATTTCTATACAATGGAATATTATTCAGCTATTAAAAAGATAATCTACTATATTTTTATAAGGGATTCAGTGATGAAGGTCCATGAACCATGTCAGTGACTGCATTTTTTGGAGTTGTAGAAATCAATTCAGAATTCTAAAGTAAGAAGGAAACATATGTAAAGCTGTTTCTGTATCCTAATTAATGTGAGCATCTGGAATTATGCTGTCTATCAGAAAAGAAATGATAATGAAAAAAGAAATAGCCTTTTGATGTACAAAGCCCCTAGATTTAAATCAGTGAAACTGTTTTGTTGTTTTAGGGTTATAGATTTTTCTTCTACTGTCTTATCATTTCCTACTTGTATATTGCCTGTGATGAAGAAAACTTGACAGGTCTTCTAACTGTCTTTGAGGTAAAGGAAGCAAATGGAGGTGAATCAAGAGGAGAAACCCTGCCAAATTGTTTAACTCTGTTCCCATTAGGACTCTATAGTCATTTGAGTGACAGAAATAACATTAAGTTCAATGTAGTTATATGATATTTGGCTTCAAATAAGAGGGTTCTTTAAAGAGAATCTTAGGAAAATACTGAACCCTTGTAATTTTAGGCAGTCATTGGAAAGTTGGAATTGGACCAGTTAGTCATATAACACTCTGTTCCTGAAGGAAAATAAATCCATATTAGAATTAGACTGGGAATAAAATGTGACAGTAAAATTACAGAATAAAAACATTAAACTATCACAGATCATCAAACATTTTAAGGCACAATAGCTGATTTGGGAGGTTCCTCTATTGCTTTAGAATGGCATTTTGTAAACTTACAGTCATTCATTCATTCATTCATTCACAAATCATTTTGTAAACTTACATTCATTCATTCATTCACAAATCATTTTGTAAACTTACATTCATTCATTCATTCACAAATCTTCCTTAAGAGCCAAACCAATGCTCTATATGGAAGTAGGCATTGATGACACAATTAGATAAGGCACTGTCCCAGGTCAGGTGTAGAAGGGTCATACATCAACTCATACATCACTGAAAGGAGACTGGTAAGTGAAAGCTCAGGTGCTGTCTGATGAGTTCTATGACAGGAGTAACACATGGCGGTGTGGAGCATGTTGGGTGTGCACTAGACTCAGTTTTCACTAGAAAAGTGACTGCAGAGCCAGACTTGGAAAAAGACATTGTGAGCAGACAAGGAAAGTAGACATGCTTGACTCACATGAAGAAAATTCCAGATAGAGAGATTAAGTCATTTGAGTGAAGCACATTTTGTATTGCTAACGTCTATAATGAGAAATGCAGAGAATTCTGAAGGATAAGTAGGTCCTGTAAAGATCCTCATCCATCACTCTAGTGTTGCACAGCTATATCTAAGCAGCATATGGAGTGGATTTGAGTGGGGAAAGGAATTGCTTAGAGCACAGCGTAGTTCAAATGTTAAGGGACTGATTGGATCACAGTGTAAGTTACATATTATGACTAATTTAAGAGATATTAAGGCAATGAGGAAGCAAAAGGAATCCAGAATAATTTTCAAGATTCTGATTTGGCATCAAGACAGCTAATGTGCCATAGCTGAGCTGGAAAAGTAGGAGAAGGACAATTAAGAGAAGATTGTGGCTTCATTTTTAGACATGTATTTGTGGTACCCATGGCACATTCACATGGAAATGTTAAGAAAATGTTTGGAAATGAATTATACAGAGCGCAGGAAAAATGTCAATCAAGATGTACAAATATATGTGGTCACCAGTGTATGACAATTGAAGCTGTGAGTATAAATGTTATAAAATAAAACAGAAAAAAACTAATGAGGAAGATACAAGTGAAAGGAATACTAAAGACCAGTTAAGAAACTGTAAACATTGAAAGACCTTGTGAAGACACAACTGTAGAGACAGAAAAACTCTATCTCCTGAGACTATTATCTGGGCCAAAAAAAATTAACATAAAATAGATGAAAAGAAATACAGCAAAATTTAGTTTATATCTGTCATGGAAGATCTTAAAAGAAATGAAGATCCAACAAGCAATCAAAGGTTATTATTTATACAGCAAAGTGAACATACAGTAGTGAACTGAAAGCTTACAAAGTAAGTGCTATTTTTTTTAAGGCTTGTACAGTATTTTTCTGGTTCCATATTCTTATCTTTGAAGATAAGGACGTTGCTTTCCTTCTATTGTACAGAAAGTGTCTTTCATGTGGAAATATTATGTTCTACTCTTAAGAAACAGCATGAAGGTCAAAGTGGTCTTGCACCTGCTGTTTTTCAGTTCATATAGGTTGGCAGAATAATATTTTTAACACTTCATGATTGTAGAGATAGCAGGGTGCTAAAAATATGGTTATCTTGAATAAAAATTGTAAGAGAGTATTCACAGGTTGGGAATTTTTTTAAAAAGAGATATCATAACTGGTTAATACTTATCTAACATACCCTTCCCTCTCTGTTGATCTACTTTTCATGTGGCCCATTGACCAAATCCAATCGTCTACTAGAAGTAAAAGAAGCTTGTTGCTCTATCCATATAGCTCAGCATCCTAGCACTCAGAGCAAAAGTAGAAGGTGGAGAATCCATCAGGAGAAGCACAAAGAAAGTGTCCATCACTGATATAAAAAACAGAAAAACATAGGGAGATCGGTAGTTTACCTACTCATCACTAGTGGTCAGTGTTGACTGTCACTCTGGTGATTTGGAATTAGTCATTTTCCTAAGATTTGAGGGTCAGCTATTATCATCAATATTTTTCTAATTGGCCTTTAAATACATTAAATATGATCTCATCATCTTTATTACTTTTCAGTGTTAGTATAAAGATCACTCCTCTGTATTTGCCAGCTGCTCAGTTTACTCACCATTAAAATCATGGAAATTAAATCTATTTTGCAAAGTGTTGAAGAATTAAGTAAAATTAATATGATCAAGTACTTAATAAATGTATAATAATTTGTTGTTACCCTTTCTTTATTAACATTTTATAACATAGTGGAAAATTATTTAAACTGATTGGCATAGTGGTTGGATTCCATCCAAGGAAGTTATGTGTCTATCCTGCTCTGTGCTAGATTTTAAACCTATCCTGAAGGACTTTTTCCTCTCACTCCAAAGCACAGGATCTTGTCACTTTGCTGTTAGAAATACTGATCTGTGACATATGAATTTTCATTTAACAATTAAAAAAATGGTTGTATATATGGTCATGCATGCTGTTTGTGTATATTTCTTACATAGCCACTATAATCTGTAAGAGGAAATTTCATTCTGCAAATGACTTCAGTGAACCATTCACAAATTGTTTATTTCAAGGAATCATTTACCTAAGTGAATACATTTAAAGCTACATAGTGTTTTGTGTTACATCATCTGTTTTGGTAAGAAAGAGTATAAATCTTTAAAATGATGGCAGATTGGAATAAGTATTTCTACAAGTGTTAAAACATAATGTTTGAAAAGGAATATACAAAAAAAGTTGCTCATAGAAACATCTCAAAACCTGAGTTTTCTAAAAATCTTGTATAATCTTTTCTGGATAAATTTTGGAGCATTTATTCATTGTATATGTACTAATAAAAGATGAAAATTTAAAACTAAAGGGCTCAACTTATTTTTCTCTCTTCAGTATAGCATAAGGATACCAATAATACTAACTGCATTTGTGATTTTGCTACTTACTTGTAAAGGAAAATTGATGATTATTTTGAAACTTTAATGTATTAATATGCTACAGAAATGAATACTTTTGTTTTTAAATTTAATAACATAAAAGAACAATTTTACTACTTTAGCTATTAATTTTCTAATGAAAAGAAAAAAGTAAAATTTTTAACAAGTTGAAATTATTTATTTTATTTTTATACATTTCATTGCTGTTTGTGCCAAAGTTGTAGACTTATATCCCTTATGAATTAAAGCTGTTCATTATGCAATAAACTTGAAAATGAATTACCAGTCGCAGCAGAAATTGGATGAGGAAATATGGCTGAATTATTATTTTCAATAGAATGTTTCAAAATACAGCTTAAAAAAATCAGAATAGAATCTGTTATCTGCCAAAAGAGTCAAAATATTAGTTGGATAAAACAAACCACTCCTTATATGATTGTTCTGTCCTTTTCAATAAAAAACCGTGAAATATATATACTTATCCAAATATGTGTGCATATATTACACACATACATGTAAAGTTGCATATAGACATACAGATAGACATACTCATGTTTACATCTGTGCAGCTTTTGAGTTGAAAATTTGTTCTATTTCCAAGTTCACTCTGCATTATAACTTGCTTTTTAATGTATTAACCCTCTGGAAAAGCTTAAAAATCTGCCTTCACCTGGACAGTGATCATTTCTACAATCCTTTCACCCTTCACTTTACAGACTTATTTGCCCTACCTCTTTATTAAAATGCTTCAGACAAAGGCAAACTATTTTATTCATTGGTTCAGTATGACCCTTTCTGATTCTCCATCCATAGACTTTATTCCCATCATGCTAAATGATGTTTCTCCGAAATATTAACACTTAAAACTGATCTCCCAACTATACTTTTCCTTTCATTCTTTGCAGAATTCCCAATACCCAAGGAATTCTTGCTTTTTTAATGCTTAACTATACTGATAGTTCATCAAAAAACCTCAGCTTTGGGTCATTTCTTTTACTTTAATTTTGTACTGTTAAATATGTTCTGTTCTCTTATTTTTAAAATTTCTCACCTACACTCTTCACTCTAAGATGTGCTAAGCAAAACCTCATATATGTAGCAGAAGTTCAATAACAGTTATTGGTGTAAATTTATATTCTAGCACCTTAAGAAAGATTGCTCAATAGAATATTGGTTAAATTTTTTATGGACAGTGTTTTCAGTGAATGGAGGTGTGTGTGTGTGTGTGTGTGTGTGTGTATATACACCCTTTTTCATGTATAAGTTTAACAATAAATTTTGTTGATATGTTCTCGAAACATCAAAAGTCTCAAATAAATAATTCTTCTGGACAGATTGGACTTGAAGAATAGAATAATATGCAACATAATTGACAAATCTATACAATATTCATGCAAGGAAGTATCTATCCCTGAGTCATTTAAGTTATCAGTGTAAAAGTTTAAGATTTAATCATCTTCATTCTAGTGTAATTTCCCCGAGTGGTAAGCTCAGTCTGTCTTTCTCTCTTTCTCTCTCTCTCTCTCTTTCTCTCTCTCTCTCTCTCTCTCTCTCTCTCTCTCTCTCTCTCTCTCTCTCTCTCTCTTTCTCTCTGTCTGTTTCTCCCTTTCTCAAATTTTAGCAGCAGGATTGGAGTAAAGTATAGAAATAAGATACTTTTGCAATGAAATCAGGTAAAGAATCAGGTAAATCAGGTAAAGAGCTGTTCTTGTTGAACCTGGATTAACATCCAGAAAATTCTGACTGCCTGAGACTACCCTTGAAATATCTTTACAGAACCCTAAAATATGAATGAACAAGGTTAGAAAGGAAATGTGGATCAATATCATTATCATTTATTGCTTTTAAAAGCCACCCAAATTTTTCTGACAAAATGGTGCAAAGAGTTATGATTTGACAAAGTCTCTTTGCTCCAGACATACAGCCATGCTACATAGAAGAGTTATCACATGATGTGACTCAGAGGCAGTATAAACATCAACACTGGCGTGCACTCTCATTGAAATAGAATCAGATAATAAAGATCAGGGCTTAAATCTAAGCCTGCTGGCTTCCATGTCTTGGAAGCATCTGTAAGTCTGAAAAGACTAGAGAAGGAAGAACAGAAGAATTCAGTTTCATGACTACGAACTGAGCATTCCAATAGATGCACCAGATACCACTTAACTGATCCAGAATCACATCCAAGAAGGGAGAGTATTTGCAAAACTGATTACCAGTAAACAGTTTCCAGCACTCCTACTGAGTATCAGTAGATATTTTTCTGAAACAACTAAGTCTTATGAGTATGATATGTGTAATCTGCTCATAAGTTTGTCTTTAAATTGAGGTCAAACTCTGCTTATTACCCAAACAAGAGACTGTGGAAATACTACTACATGCACTCCCTGGATGCCTGATCACAATGCTATAGAGACATGCGATTGATTGTAGTACATTGAGCTTCAGTGAACTCCATCATCATTCAGATCTAGCAGGTACCCACTGACCACCTGTGACTTACACCCCATTTAGAGGTTGAATATCCAAACAAGTTTCAGTCTTCATCAGTTCAGTTTCACTTACTGTGAAGGGCATTAGGAAAGCAACTGGTCCAAAGACTCCATCTTGAAGTGCAAGTCAACTCCTTTTCTAAAATCAGCTTGGGTTTCATGGTGTATACCATGCATTTTATTACATGTACAGGAATACAATACATGTATTGTTCACCTTGGACTGCCATTACAATGTAACTCAGACTTGGCTTAAACTGGAGGAATTTGTTTTCTCACAGTTCTGGAGGCTAGAGGTCCATGACCAACACCCTGGCAGGTTGATGCATCCCTTTGGCTTGTTGTTGGCCTCCTTCTCGCTCTGTGTCCTCACATGGCCTTTCCTCTGTGCACACACATCCCTCTTCTTGGAAAAGCATTAGTAATATTGGAGTAGAGCCTTACCCTGATGGCTTCACTTAACTTTAATTACCTTCATAAAGGTCCTTCACACAAATACAGTTGCATCTAGGATCAGGACTTTAACATCAATTTGGGGGGTTGGCACAATTCGGTCCATACTAATGTGTGGTGAAGAGATTATTCTACTGACAATGTTTTTTTTAATTTTTACTTTTACATATTTGCAATACATGATGATCACATTCATTGTGGAGTAGGTTCATGTACATCATACTTCTCAATTATTTCTCCCCTTCCCCTACACCCTCCTTTACAAAATTTTTTTGCAAGCATCAGATTTATTTATTTTATCAGTGCTAATAGAGTTAATTATCATACATACAGATTAACAGCCAGGAAACACTCCAAAAAGCATACAAAACACATAAGACAATTACACTAAATCAAGGTATAGTTTTAGATACATTGTCCATGCTGGATTATAGTATTTTTTTCTTTCTGTTTTTTTTTTTTTCCCTATTTTCTGTCTTTTATTTTGCACTTTATATATTGGGCTTCTCACTGGAAAAATAAAGTCATGTTTAGAACCATGATCATTACTGTTTCTTTTTCAGCCAATAAGAGCTGTTTTAATGGTGCCCTGGTGTGTACCTCCTCTGACAGCTGTATCCCAGCTCACCAGCGCTGTGATGGCTTTGCCCACTGCATGGATTTCCACCTTGATGAATCCAGCTGCACAGGTACCCCATTTCCTTCCCAAAATTCTTTGAGTATGAACCAGCAAGTTAACCCGCAGATAATCAAAATGTTAAAAGTTGACTTTGTATATGTGATAAGAAAGGAATAATTGAATTTCTATGCTTGACTTTGTGGACAGGAAAAATTTTGACATTAATCATTATATTTAAAAACATTTATAAATACATAATACGATGGACTTGGGTTTATTCCATACAATGGTTGTTAAAATACAGAGAAAACAATATGCAATTTAATTTACTACAATTTAATTTCAGATTATTTGTATTTAATAATTTTGAAAATTGCTTGGCTTCTAAAATAAGGAAACCCTATACAATATAATGTGACTAATATTTTAAAAGTTGTAATTTTAAGAAATTGTACTTTTCCCACTTCTTCATAAGAGCTTCTTGTTTGTATGGTCTAGTCATGTTCTTTAATGTAAGCTTATTAAATTTGATATTTTTTTGCTTATTAAATTTTAGATTAACTTTTAGGTGTCTTTCTTTCTTCTTACCTCTAAGCATTTATACAATATATGAGCTGTTAATGTATATCAGTGTTTATACTTGTATCAAAAGTGTTTTAAAATTCTGTAATTTAAAACATGTAACCCATTTTTAACATCTCTGCACAATAATTGAATTTTTATTTCATTCAGGAGGTATATAAAATAATAGATATATAGGTCATTGTAATTCTGTCACAACTGAGAGATAATATGAATCAATAATAAAAGATATACATTCAATCATAGTTTTAAATAAATTGGAAATATTTTATGTCAGATCTAAGTAAGAATATACTTTTTGTATCTTTCAAGAGAGGCAAGTGGTAAAATGACAGAAGCAGGATTAGAATTAAATCATAATGCAAAGGATGCTTTTTTATGTTACTGGAAGTATTAACACAGTGCTGAATGTATGGACAGGATAGGATATGAAGCAATGGGGAGGTGTGGTCCTGTAAAATATGCAGTGTGATGCAAAAACAATGCTCTTTGGTGTGATTTCTCTACTATGCATATTTAGACTTCAAATAAAGTACCCCAAAAGATACCCTATTACTCTCTTGATAGGGAATAAGAAAGGTATAAATGCTACAGTTCTATTATTTGAAGCTATTGAGAAACAATACTAATATCCTTTCATTTACATAAAGTTGACATTTTCCCTGGAATTGTATTTTTGAAGCACAAATCTTACTATGGTGTGATTTACTGCTTGCTTTAAAGTTATCTACCTTTAACAATATGGTCAGAAAAACAAAAGATTTGCCATTCATACCATGTGATAGAACAACCAAAGGTAAGACCAGAGAACATATTTGTACTGCCTTGTCTATTTCAGTTGGGCATCAATCACTTGCAGTCCTCTAATAAAGTAAGAATCATGAGAGTAAAATAAACAAGTGCAACACAGTATTCAGAAAGAAAATTGGTATTACTTATTTTTCTCTTTTTATATTTTTGGCTTGTCAGTCAAATACAATGAGGTCAGTGCTTCTGTCTTTTGGTTTATTGAAAGGAACAGTAATGCTTAATTTCTTTGACCAATTTTGCATTACTTTGAAGATGACAATGTGCAATACAACAACCATTGTTAATTGCCCATCATCTTGCTTTGAGATTCTGTATTGTTTTTAATATTTTTAAATTCTTATTCTCTTTAACAAAAAGAATGACCCATTCTTGAGGTTATCAGTGTACATTATACATTTTTTAATTTTGTCCAAGCATCATATTCCTTTAAGGTCAGAGTTTTCATAGAGTTTTACGAGCCCAGTCCTTACAGCATCCCGTAATCCCCATAGTGGTCCCCAAACAGATGGCAGGCATCTGGCTTCAGCTACCTGAGGGTTGAAATCATTAACAAGAACATCAGGTTCAGGCAGGTTAAGTACGTTTCAGTGAACCTGGTCTGTTTCTAAATTATGTTAGAAAGATTTATTATTTTAAAGTTTTGGTTGCTCATGCAACTGAAAATTATTCACCAGAATTGGCAAGACTAGACATAAACTCAAAGTGTTCATCTAGTTAATTGCAACAGTAAAGGTTAATAAAGTTTATGCTAAAGCAATGCTATAATTATGATGATCATCCATTGGAAACAGAATTCGAGAAAGACATTAAAATCATAAAATTGTAGGATGGTCCCTTATAAATATAATTTTATATGTGCTCTGCTGATGATATATAGTTTATGAAAGTTTCTGAAGGGTTTATAAACAAATCAAGTATACAGAAACTTTTCAGTCAAGTGCCATATATTTCAAATTTCTGAGTCTTGATTTCTCCTATATTCTATGTGCTAGGATTTCTAGATAAAGAAAACAGCTTTGACTCATTGGAGACTTGGTTTGCTGCCCTTTATGGTAGACTCCTACAATACATGCATCTCTGCAAATTATACACAGGGTATTGTGCATATGCATACTTATCTGAGACTAGGAATAGATGCCATGTAATTCAAAGAAATCCCAAGCCCATAGTATCGAGTACTTAAAGCTGTTATAGAAAAACTGGACTAAATAGTAAATCATTTAACATTTCCATGCTAACAGAACCAGCAGTTAGATAACGAGGATTTAGTTCCAGTTTGAAGCTTCTTTGATATGAAGCAAGTTTTATTAACTGCTTGAAGCCTCGGGCTCTTCCTCTACAAAATGAGGGTGAATATAGAACATCTGACATAAAGTGGGGAGGATTGAGGAAAATACTGAGAGGCTCTTTGAACACATAGGCTTCAGTAAGTGACTATGATGATGGGAAGAGAGAGCAAGGAGAAGGTGGAGAAGGAGGGCAAAGGTAATAAAAATATGTTTCTCAACCAAAAATTTGAACATCTGCTTCAATTCTTCCAAGTAACCACCAAGATGTTTCAACTCCAACAGTAAAATGTCATGTAAATTATTATAACTCTCACCCACATCCTAACCTACTCTTTTCATTCATGCAACCAATGTATTTCTCCTTAGACTGTTATAAAAAGTTCTTTTCTTATCTGAGCTCCTACATTTTAACCTTGACCTTTCTTCCTGTTGACCTGATTCCCTGTAGCCAGAATTCACTTTCTAACCATCAAGCCAGGAAAGAACAGTCACTCTGCTTCCTACCATCACAGCCTTGTTGAGTCTCCGTGCCCTGGTCCTGCATGTCTCTGCTGCTCTCTCACCCAGCAGGCAGAGCTTCTCCCGTTTCTCACACACATCACAGTCTCTTCTGGGGTCTTCATGCCTTCATGCTAAGCTTTATACACATGAAACACTGCTCAGATAAATGTCTACTGACTCTCCTCCAGAAAGCTTTGCCTTCACTCTCAAACTTGACTTAGGTGCTCGCTCCCTTTGCAGCAACCCTCAGCTTGGTGTATCCGTCCCGAAGAGATTGAATTCCATGCAGTATCTGAATGCCTCACAGAGTATTTTTGCAATCTCTGTAGGTCTGAAAGGTCATGTGTGGTCTGACCACACACAGGTACCCTTTGGAAGTCATCATTTTGTAATCACACAGTATGAGCTGGGTATCTAACAGTCTCAACATCCCCGTTAGATCAGTGTTATGTTTAACCATGTTTTATGGAGCAGAATCTGAGGCACAGAGAGATAAACTGACATCCTCAATATTACACAAATAGTAAACTGAGCCGAGATGCTAATTTAGGCAGCTCGCCTCCAGTGCCTGCAGCCTTATTAACCATGTTAAGCTGTCTCTATTATTAATTATTATATTTCCAATGCCTGGATCAGTGTCAGACATTTAATAGGTGTGCTGAATAAATAAGTCATATAAAAAATTAAAGGCAGTGAAGGTTTTCATCAAGTATTCGAATGACAATGGACCAAAAAGGGAAAACGGTATTCTGCAAAAAAGGAAATCTTTAAGTTTCTGTTTTTCTTGTGTTTGTTTTTGTGGAGTTTTTTGTTTTGTTTTGTTTTTTTGGGGGGTTTTTTGTTTGTTTTTTGAGTGTTTTGGGGTGTTTTGTTTTTGAGACAGGGTCTCACTGTGCAGTACCGGCCGTCCTTGAACTCACCATATAACCCAGGCTGGCCTCAAACTCTCAGTAATCTTCCCGCCTCAGCCTCTCAAGTGAAGCAGATCTTTAAAAAGCCAGGAGGAACAAGGAAATTGGCAGACAGTAGTAGATCATGGCTACTTAGGGAGGAGACGGAGGGACCGTGAAAGGAGCTTGAAATAAAAAGCTCAAAGGGCTCACCACTTCCATGGTAAAAGCAGTGTGAAAATATTTAGTTCTTTTAATCTATAAGTGAACTACTTTTGAAAATAAATGTTCATGCTAAACAAGAGCTAGAGAGTGAAACGAATAATGAAACAGCAGGGCCCAGTACAAAAGGGACGAACGAACTGTGCTGACACATGTCAGAGACACAGAGGTAGGACCTATGCCTGCGTACAAGTGATTTAGTTGATCAGAAAGACAAGGTGCCCTCTGAGAGGCTGAGACAGGATGATTATAAGTTTGAAGCCAGCCTTACTTCAAACTTACTGATTTAGTGAGACCCTATCCCAGAAACAGAAAGAGAGAAAGAAAAAGAAGAAAGCAAGAAAGTAAGATAGCAAGAAAGAAAGATAGATAGATAGATAAATGTGGGGATGTAGCTTAGTTTGAAAGCACTGGGTTCAATTATCAACTACAGGAAAAAAGACAACTTTGTCCATGCAAAACACTAATCTGCTATAATTTAGTTGGCTGTTGTGTGGAGTTAAAGAAATATTTCATTAAGCAAAAAATTTCTGTATAGCCACAAATATGCTAGGAGCCAGCTTTGAATAAATCTTTTGACTAAAAATGTCACAAGAACAAATACACAAAATCCCAAATATGTCACGCAGACAGGTTCCAAGTAAACCAATTGTAACTAATCCACTAGAGAAGAAAGTCTTCTGTCACAGTGATTCACAGAGGCCCACGGAGGGCATGAGCCCACTCAGGACAGTAAGGTCCACTGAGCAAACTGTGTGGTAGGGAAAATAGCCCAGGAGAATTCTGCTTGGGGCAACTGAGAAGCCACTTCCTCTCAAAGATGAGGTTTAATGCAATAAGTAACAGTACCGTGTCCTCCTCCCTCCAAGTAGTATTTATAATTAACTGTTGTCTTTCCGATGCTTCTTTTTAGAGTGCCCTGTAAGCTACTGCAGAAATGGTGGCATTTGTGTGGTGGACAGAAGTGGTCCTATGTGTCGGTAAGGAACATGACTGTTTTTTTAAAGCAAGTATTGCAACCAGGTTACTTATTTTCTTGAAGGTGATATACACAGAACATCCTCAAGGTAAAAATTGTAGACAATGAACTATCTTCCTTTTCTATGTGCACAGAAGAAAGGAAGAAGTGACTGTATTTTTAAACAATATCAATTATTTAATATAATTTTGTGTGGTTTACATTCTCTGTAACATGGGATGCATCATTTTAATGCTACTCATTATCCCCTGTTTTCAATGTTCAGATTGTTAAGACTTTTTTCTAATATGTGTATCCTATTTCTCATGTATTTGTTGTCTCTTCCTGCTTTTATTTCAATTTTTTTCTCTTCTCTAATGACAAAGTCCCAAATTAATTCATAAAAAAGAGGATTTTCTGACCTAGAAGTGAATGTTTATAAGCAAAGTTAAGTTGTGGGTGAGGAATACTTCTTCGTACCCAAAGAAAAAATGAACAAAACTGGTTTTGTCATTTCTTTCAGGAATTACTTGTATTGCATATCAAAGATTGCTTGATTTTGTTTTACTTGCTCTTTAGGGAATTGTGCAAAATATTTTATAGACTCCACAGGAAGTAGTGCATATTCCATTATTACTGTATTTATGACTTGTAAATCTAGCAGACCATTGGCTATATTACTTTGCTTATTAGAAAACTGAAAGAAAGTTGATAATCAAATCATTCTGAAACACAAACAAGTATTGGGAAAACACTGAATAATAGCTGCTGAAATTGTTATAACTTTCTAAGTCAATACTCATATTTTGGTGAAAGTAGTTTATTCCTAAAAATTAGTACCTCTACCAATCGAAATAAGAATTTTGTGATGAGCTATATCTAGACACTGCCTTAACATTATTGAACCTGAATTGCTAATGAGTTTTCCAATGTTTTGTCTCCTGAATTCATTAATTAATTTCATGTATAAATCAAATTATAAATTTCTCTGTGTCAGTTTGTATGAAAATTAATTTATCATAGACTATTACTTGATGGAAAGACAGGATGCATAATATTAATGGCTAAAATCTGAAAGCAATTGAGAATGATGTCATAACTGTTTACTTAATACCATCTAAGTGGATAATGTTACTTAATGTCAAATGTTTACAGTAAGTAAATGTTTAAATACGTTTGTAGTTTTGTTCTCTGTAGCTCTCTTATTCTAGAAAGCTCCCAGACGTTAGACAGTTTCAGCTGAGCAAGCAAAAAGCTTTGCATTCTTGGCAGCAACCTCGAGGATTTAAATAAACTCAGCGATTGAAATCCAGATGGTGAAGGACTAAATTTGCTTCTCTAGCATGAGAGAACTGAGGTGGGGGAGAGGAGATGCCAAGGGCTGAGAAAGGACAGGGCCTCAGAACAGAAGTCATTAGAGTAAAATGTAGAAAAGAAATGACTACTATGGAAGTCTATAAAATATTTCATATATTATGTTTGATATCAAGTTATACTTTCAAAGGATACAAAAGCTATCATGAACTTTATTATAAATGAGTACTTGCAGTTAGTATTTGTATGAAGAAAATGACTTTTGACATTTTCCATATTTGAAAACACTAGTCTCTTTATTCAAATTTTGTTTCTTATTGTCCACTGCAAAAGTGATGGCAGTGTATTGCACTAAATTTTGTAAAACCAAACAGTTGTGTATCAAACAAAAACCAGAACTTTCTAACACCCAAGTCCTACTCTGTAGTAGTACACAGTTTATATTTATTGAGATATTTCTTTCCCTTCACAGACGCATGTACATATGCAAGCATATGAGTTTTACAGAAATGTTATTTATATTTCATCTACAATTTGCACCTTGATTTTTGCCTTCATGAAATCAGGTTGTTTTTCTGTGCTTGTTCTAGGTCACCCTTCACTGGCTGGGTGGTACAGGTATCCTTAACTTTCATGTAGTTTAGTTTCAGTTTCTTTGCTAGCACAATGAAGAAAATAATATCACCTATATCATGAGGTAGTTGCAAAGTTTATATGTAAGAAACTTTGAACAGTGATTGATACATTAAAGATGTTATAGCAATGATAGTCATGACATTCTTGTTTGTGCTGGGTAGAACACAATATTCAGTGTGTGGATTTGTCATAATTTAATTAGCCCCTTTAGTGTCCTGATAATGAATAGTTAATTCTTTTTTTTTTTTTTTTTTTTTTTTTTTTTTTTT